TTTAAAAGAAAACTGGCTAGTAGGCAGGCAAACTGTTCACTACATTTTACTATATTTTATTATCTGTACATATTTTTAGTGTAGTTGTACAGTATTTACCTCTGTTTCTATACGGCTTTCATGTAAAGAAGTTATGTAACTTATGAAATTACCGTATTCAAATAAAAGTGAATCAATCAATCAATCTCTCTTAGTAACACAATGGTAACGGAAGGAAGCCTCTCTTAAATAATACATAAAAACAATAATCCACCAACAAAGATAAACTTGTTATTTTCATCGACAATACTCCTTAAAAGATCAAATTAACTACGAAAATATATCAACTTTTCGTCACCAGCTCCTTTTGTCCGAGTGGGGACTAGGGTGGGGTATTGATAAGTCACGCTAAAGGGTTAAAAATAAACTGCCGCAAGTAAAAAATCTTGCTACCGTAATGTGGCATATTTTATTCAGCTTTTGTCTGACCTCGTGGTAAGCAATTTATAGATCCAAGCTGCTTCATATCAACATCATTTCAACTGGTTAATTGCAAGACATTTATCGCCTTCCTATGAAGCAAGTCAAAACGATGTTTCGTTTTACTCCTCTGTGCCTGTTTCTCGTCAGTGTCTTTTCTTCAGCAACAAGGTAACAGTATTTCTAATTTACACCTGATTTGAACAAATGACGAGTTCAAATGATGAGTACAAAAATCTCTTCACTTTCTCAATGAGAGGCTGTCGCTAGTTTGCTTTCATTTTACCTTGTTTACACTAAGACTTTTCACCCTGTGAAACAAATTTCAAAATTTATACTTTAAATTAACCTTTGTTCGGTTACACGACTGTGCTGTTTTAGACTTCGTCTGCTCCTGTATTTTCGCTTTAATGCAAAATTGATACAGCAAGTTTTAAGACATTTATAAACACACACTTTCGATTAAAGCACTACAGAAGAGCTAAAAAGGTTTCTATAAGAGTTAATAACATTGACCGAAAATTTATACTGACAAAATTAATGATTTTTATCTCTAATTGGTATGAGCTAAGATGACTCTAAATAAAACCCGGAACATGGAACATCCCGGAACATTCCGGAATATGAAAAAATTAAAATATTTTTTTATGAAAAAATAATTAATTACTTAATAATAATAATAATAATAAATAATAAAAAGAACAATAGAAAGAAAACAATTCATTGCAAAAATTTACAATAACAAAATAATTAACATAACGTAACATAAAAACGAAAAATAAAGAAACAAAGAAAGAAAAGGAAACTGGTATCATCTCCGAGTATGAGAAAACAATATTTTGTCTCAATGAATTTTTTGGGCGAGTGAGGGTCCATTCAAATGACAGTAATGAGTGAAGGCTTGCTACAGTCGAATCCCGATAACTCAAACCTTCAAGAGAAATAGAAAACAGTTCGAATTATCGGGAGTTCGAGTTATCGAGGGTAAAATTATGTAGAAAACGATCTGAAGGGAAATGAAAATTGCTTCGAGTTAGCGGGAGGTTCGAGTTATAGAGGGTTCGAGTTACCGGGAGTCGACTGTAGTTAAAATGGGTCGCGAGGAGAGGGTTTTCAAGCTTTCGTCACACAGCCACCTCTTGTAAATGTTTGCCATGCAGTTTAACGGTTATTCATTTACGGCTTTGCGACCGTACGAAGGGCTTAGGGTCTCGTCGCTTTGGACTTGGATAATTAAGGATTCACATTCGCGGTGAATAGTTGCAGTCGCAGTGGTAGCGCAGCGCTAGTTTCTAACTGTTATCAGTTAGCCTGAATTTTAGCCTTCTCCCCACAAACTCCTCTTGCGACTCGAGGAGACGTCTGAAATATCATGCTGACTGTGAACAGTATGGAAACTACTACGAATGTGAGTATTGTCCACTAAAATGCAAAGACAGGAGCCCCTATACTCTTCTTAAGTTCACAGAGCCGCCTAGTCTGTAGGTAATTCATGTCAACCTCAAGTGAAGCAAAGCACCTCAAGTAAGTAAATGTCGGTTATATATAAGGAAACTATATGTTGGCTTGAAATGAGCTACTTACCGACTTGGCTTGACATGAAATACTGCACCGACATTTTAGACCATAGCAGAGCCGTAAATCAAGAGACTATAAAGGGGACAGAGAGGGCATCCCCCATATACACCCTATTCCATAGGTAATTCGTCTCGAGTTATTTTTAACACCACAGATCTCAAGGGGGATTAGACAACAGCCAATCACATAGCGCGAATGTGTTCCGCGTGGATGACCCACGCTGAGAGGCACGCGTCCTTCACGAAATGACGCACAACAAAATGGGGGAAGACGCAGAGAGCGATTTTATATTCTAATTCGCTACCCCGCTCAAACGAATATAAAACATTTATCATGTAACAAGCAACCTCAATTGGGGTGTGTCAACACGAGCCGTGTGCGACCCTCTTTATTATGCCTTCATCAACAGAATGGATGGAAATAATACAACAAACAGAATGAAAACTCGGAAATGTAAAAAATTACAGTAAGAAAAACAACCCTACAAAATGATCTAAACTATGCTCGTATAACAATGATTCAGTAAACATACAAAACGTGCTAAACCTTTCATATAGCAGCATGGAAAAAACTACGTCTAAGAGAAACCCCTGGTCACTGGATATTTAATTTTGAGGGCGTAGGGAGAACAACTCGAATATATACAGCCTACCACTAATTAAGCAATTGTAACAGCATACCATGTAACACCCCAAAGAAAAGGTTACATAACCCATGATAAATACATTTGCTATTCCTTTTGTTGACGAAAACGACTACAGCGAGATTTCTGCGAAAGCTGTTTCAGCGAAACTGAAATTTAAAAAGAATCGCCCTTCCTCTCTTGCATAGAGCTAACAGTAGAGCAGGGAAATCCTTAACACACTGAATATTCTCTCAGGATCATTTATAATTTACAGTTTCAAGAGAGCAATTTCTGGTTTGATGTTTATTTTTTTCACTTTGTCAATTGTAGGCGAACCCTCCTAAAGCTGAATTTCAAGACACCATATTCAAGCTCAGAAAGAGAAATAAAATTTCGTCGTTGCTTATTTACGTCCTCCATAAAAAGCGAAATTAGGCATTTTCACGTCGTAGTCGTTCAAAAACGGGAAAGAAATGAACAAAAAAGTGTGTAGCACGTGCGAAGTTGTTGTTTTGCTAAAACCTATTGTTTTTTTGGCGTTCTAGTTGTCGTCCGCGTCGTTGGAATCTTAAACTCCCTAAATTGTACAAACGACCGGTTTCAATAGACCGGCGAAATTTTTGTCATTTTATTAAAGCACTGAGGTTACGACAACTTCGAGTTAAACTGATTTCACGGGTTGTCAAAGAGTCCAGCGATTCCTTTTTCCCAGGTGAGCGCCGACTCATTTCGCTTCAATATTCAGGAATGCTCTCGATCTTTTTACGCTTTCATTGCCTCTCGCCCGACATGTTTTGCACGGCGTTTGGTCATGCGAAACCTCCACGAAACATCCACGCCTCGCGCGAGGTAACTTTATCCCGATTCTAAAAATAACTCGAAACGAATTACCTATGGAATAGGGTGTATATGGGGGATGTCCTCTCTGTCTCCTTTATAGTCTCTTGCCGTAAATGGATAACCGCCAAATGATTAACTCATGGCAAACAATTACCAGAGGTAGCTCTGTGACGAAAGCTTAAAGAACCCCCTCCTGTCGACCCATGTTAATATATTTTGAATTTAGAAGAAGCCTTCACTGATTACTGTCATTTGCATAAACCCTCACTCGCCCAACAAATTTTAATCGGTTGCGACAAGTATTGTTTTCTCATACTCACAGAGGATACCAGTTTCTTTTTCTTGATTATTTCATTATTTTTCGTTTTTTTTATTTGTTATTTTACGTTATTTATTAATTTTTACAAAAATTATTTTATTATTATTATTTTATTATATTTTTTTTCATAAAAATTATTTTTATTTTTGCATGTTCCGGCATGTTCCGGAATGTTCCATGTTCCTGGTTTTATTGACGGCCTCTAGAAAAAGCCTTTCGGGCGGCTTTCCAAACACTTCTGATTACTTAGCTAAAAACCATAAACATCTTTCAGCAGCCTCAAACAGTGAAATTTCGGTAAAAGACAGAAAACAGAGTTTTAAGACAATGAGTTACACATCTAGCGCTTTTTTGGAGAATCAGTAAAATTAATATACAATCATTTCAGATTCCGCACAAACTAAAGTACTAACGCGTGTTAAACATTACTTACGTAAGGCTCTGGATAAGAATATCAGATATAAAGTGCTAGAGATGGACCCAAAGGGAAATCTTTACCTTCACAAGACTGCGTTTCTCTGCAAGAATGATATAATCAAACCACTCGTTAGCGGCAAATACCATCTCGTAGAATCGACCCCCATTGGTAAGTCACTCAATATTTCCCACACAGGAAACCAGCAAAGGGCTTTATATGTAATGTGATGAGTCGTATGCTGTAATGCTTCTAGACTTGTACTGAATTAGCCTGAATTAACCTAATCTTGAACTGCTAAAACGTTCGAAAAGAAAAGGAAGTCTACAATGCCATTTTAAATGTTTTCGTGCTTTCTTAAGCCACTTTTTTTTTTAATAATAACTGAAAGAGAGTGCTTGTGCTGTCCTAACTGAAGAAAACTCAATTCAATTAGAATGCTCGTTTTTGTTATTAACGCAGGTCTGTCAAAAGATTCTTCAGCGCTCAATTGCAAAGATCTCAAAACAAAAGTGCCTTCTGCCACGTCAGGCGTTTACTGAATTGACCCGGATGCTGGTTCCCATGGCAACGCTTTCCAAGCCTATTGCGACCAACAGACGGACGGAGGAGGCTGGACTTTGGTCTGGAGTTATACCTTCACAGCTTATTCAAGGTTCACGTCTGGCGCGAACGCTGTCACTCCACGACCTGCATGGACAGCCAGCCGTGCTAACACACGAGTGTCCACCACAGTTCCACTGAGCGAGACGCATTATGAAGCCATGAACTTTGATTTGTGGCGAACTATTGGAAAAGAATTTCTTATCAAGAGTAACATCAACAACTGGATCGCTTGCAAGGAAGGTTCTGGAAGCCTAGTGATGCAGAAAGACGGGTCCCTCAGCTGCAAACTGGTCAAACAAGTTTCAAAGCAGTGTGCTGGTGTTGTGCCAAAGTCCATCACGATGCACGCCCACGGTCCTTACATCAACAGTGCAGGCCACTACTATTTCTTCGCCGGTGGTAGGAGTGGAGGTTGGCCCACGCATGATCCGTGTGGCAGAAATCAAGCGAATCAAGTAAAAGGCGTGGTTAATCCACATGGCAATATTTTTGTTCGATGAAAAATTTCTCAAGCGCCTGCTGAATATTGGGAAGGAACCAAGATAAAATTGTAAAATGCTAATCAGCACTCTAAGGGACTGTAAACAAAAGCAGTAGCAAAAAGTTATATTTAACATACAACTGAAAACTATACTACTTGTGTGTGGCAACTGGAGGGCAGCGGAGCATTGTGAATGAATAGCCAATAAATTTCGGTTCCTTATATTACAAATGTTTCATCTATTGTTCAGCATTACAGAAATAAGGTTTAGTTAACTATCGTCACCCAGTTAAAGCAACTACTATTCCCACCGTCAAAGAGTAAAACAAAGTTAAATTATTTCCCTTTATTAAATTTTTCTCGTTATACGTTTTTCGCTTTACCCTGTTACTGAAAGCGACCACACGAAACACGCTGAATACACTCAACTCTCTCATAAGAGATACCTATATAAGACGCCAGACACCTGGTGTTGGCCCCTGCCGTTTTCGAATCTTTTTACCGTAACTGTACTCTCTATAAATAAGACGGACACCTCCCTGAGAAGAGCAACGTCACTTCTGAAACCGTCAAAGGACACCTGTCGGTTGAGAAATGTATATTATGCAGTGAAACATACATCTAAGCGGAAATTTAGGTGCTCAACATAACAGTAGCCTACAATAAGAAGGGGGAGGCAATTTACATTACAAATACTGTACGGGACTCCTACTGCTCGTATCTTAAAACCATTCTCGACCTTTCTAAACGCTATGTGGAGAACCAAAAAACTTGTCCTGTTAAACTGTGAAAACGTTATCTTCTCGCTTTGGCTGAACTTTAGTAACCTTTCAAGAGGAGAACTTCAAATGTTTCCACCAAAAACAAACCATTACTGACTTACAGTACTGTATTAAAGGTTTGTTTTTCAGTTAAAACATTTACTCAAAATAGCGAATCACTATTTAATTATTTTGTAGCCTTGCTCCAGTTCGCAGAGTGTACACATTTACACTTTCAGGCCACTAAGCCGTGACATTGGCTTGTAATGAACGTTTGATCATGTATAGTTTAGAAGCTCTAGCACTTCACATTTGGAATGACTGTACATTGGAACTACCACACGTTTCCCGACTCACTGATCTTGCTAGTGCAATCGTATTATCGCACATGTCAAGAGATCTCAAAAAACGTTGCCCTTGAAAGAATGGTAAATTAGGACAAGCTAACTCGCCTTGGGATTGGAGACAAAATAAAAAATCTTTAATGGTCTTTTTAAACGTTCACGCGAAGGGAAAATAATTTGTCACTGCGCTTTCTTTCGCAATCAAGTCGATGTTTCTGAATTGCTTGAACAATTTGCGGTTGCTTATACTACACTACAAGAATTTAAACCACGCAAAACAAAATTCGCCTTGATTGTAGATTACAAGGATTCTCGATTCTCTTGTGCTGCCGCCATTGTTGCCTCCTTGCGATGTATTTTATACGTCGTGTCGTCAGAAACCAAAATGCAGAAAATCAAAGCAAACGTTTGATCAGCAACGTTGCGGACAGACGTTGCAGCTGGCGAAGCTGTGATAACCTCAGCGGTTGCCGGGGGTGTTAAGCTATGTATACACTTTACCGGGTAGCTTTTGCGCCGGTATGAAAACCACCGGATAGCGTTTCTGTCCACACATAAGAACGGTGATTTCGATGCAATTTCTGTAACGGAGAGAAGCTGTGCCACGCCGATCCATAAAGTGGGGAATTACATATTGAGTGTATACCAGATAAAAAGAGATTTCTCTTGCCGACAGATTTTCGTGTTGGAACGAAAAACTGTCCGGTATAGTATGAACTGAACATAGCCTTAGAGATATATATTTTTGAAAGAATATGGACAGCTATCATTTTAAAGGCCAATATATTTTTTGCCTAAAATTGAAAAATCAATTAAAACTTAAATTTTGTGAAAAGCAAAAATTAAAACGCGATAAACATATCCTCAGTCGTGAAAGGTTGGTATGTATTTTGAATAAAAGTAAATAGAACAAAGATCGAACGAAATTGTTTCAATGGTTTATTAAGGTGGTTACAGGCGCATTGACAAAACAGTTAACTACCTAATGTCATACGGCTTACGGTTACTAACGAGATGGCCGCGAAACTTCAGGAGAACTTGGCAATAATATGGTCAGAATAATTCGAGTCTCTAGAGATACTCTAGAAGAAGTCGCCTATAGTGGATCTTTTTTTCGAATATTTCTAGCTGAAATTTCTGTTGTCAGCTTTTACTGATATAATTAGTATGCCAAATGAATTTATAGAGAAATCTTTGGAGCAGAATTTGGTAACCAGAGCTGTTCAATGATTTCGACAACGAATTGCTCTGAGGCAGAACGAGGCACACTTCACTGAATTTTTGGGACAAGTATTTTCAATGCAAGCTATATTCTGAAAACCAAGCCGATCGGCAATCGTGCTATTCTTTAAAAAGTACTCTTTGACTATAAATTATTCCAAACCTTCGCTGTGAAGACAATTGATTAATTCTTCAACATTTTTTAAATATCTTCAGCAGTTTGGCTCAAACTCCTGCTTAACAGGCCTTCTATAGAGCCTCTTGTGTAAATAGAAATATTCCGTAAAGAAAAATCTATCAGCCTATATAAACTTATTATAAATTCTCTATTCGCCTATCCGAAACATTCCTTTGGTGTTCAGCAACTAGGGAAAAAATCGTCAGTTCCTTTTGCCTGAGTGGGGACTTAAGGGAAGGGAATATTGCTTACACACTTAAAATTAAAGGTAATGTTACAAAGGAAAATTTTTAATACATGTATTACACTTTTTAACGTGTAAAGCGTTACAGAGAATTTTTTAGTGTTGTGTTACGCTTTATGTTGGGTACTTTTACGCCAGCTTTAAGTGTAAAAGAGCTGTGCTCTTAACGAAAGCGACCCAGGTGATTAGAATTATGTTTCGTGGTTACTCGGAATTTATGAAACGCACAACGCCAGAGTAAGCGCCAGCGCAAGCTTCAGCGGTCTCCATTTAACTCGATGCAGCTTAAAGACGGATCGTTTTAGACCTTATTATGCCAGCTTTGTTTTGGGGGTGGGGGGCAATTTTTGTCAACGTTGTTGTTAGGGTGATTTCTTCTTTTGTTTGTGTGTATGAAATCTTTGTTACTTTCTCAACCACTACTAACACGATCTCATGCGAGTTGGCGCTCATTCTGTTCATGAACCTTTAACTTCAATTCAAGCTGCCATAGTCAGATTCCAGTTAAAGAAATGAGGCCAAAATATTACCCACTATACTACTCGCCCGATGCTGGGTTTGATAGACTACTCACCTTATAGCCCTGTAAATTAATGAATTCAGCAAAAAAAATTAACTTAAGGAACCATTAAAAGTGGTTTAGAAACTTTGACGCATCTTTTATATTTGTTACAAATGAAGCTTCGTTTCCATTCTAAATGTTATGCTTTCAATGTTACATCAATAGGGATTTTGGTGGCTTGAGGAGGATCCCTCTGATGGCAAGATGTCAAAATCAAAAAGCAACAGGAACTTGAATCCTGGTAAACACAGCAAGAGAATCAGTGACATGAAAGAAACAAGGAATGAAGGTGTTCGTTTCTTTACCAAGGCGTCAGAATTAAAGTCATTAAAACCCATTAGAGATACCTCAAGGGAATCGCGCAGGCATAAAGACAATTTACTTGCTGGCCATAAAAGTGGCATAGTAGACAGAAAATAGATCAGTGGTTAAATAAGTGCTCCACTTCACAATCAATAGGACATGAAGACAGTCGTGAGAAGAAGAGGTCTAGGGACGGTTCGTCAGGTGGTAACCTTGGTAACATATCTCCTGGGGATTCTGCTGGTGTTAAGGACGTGGCTAATGTAGTTGTTAAGTACCTGTCTCCGTATCTAAAGCAGGGCTCTGTTGTCTCTAAGGTAAGAACTACGTATCAAACAAATAGAACTTGTGAAAGTACTACTGAAGAGGTTACATTTGGATGGTACATCAACTCAGGATTTCATCCACAAGCTCAAACGTTAGAACTGAAAACTCTTTAAATAGCATCAGTGAAAGTACTTGCGGTACCATTGAAGAGGTTTCATTTGAATGGTCATACCATAGAATTTCATCCACAGACATAGAATCGTTTGAAAGTTCTGCTGAAGAGGTTTTATTTGAATGGTGACAACATAGGATTTCATCCACAGACTCAAAAGTTAGAACTCTATGCTAAATACATTGTACCGTGTAAAAATATTGCTGGAGAGGTTACGTTTGAATGGAGCACGGAAGGATCTTAGACTCAAGCTAGAATCTCTTTGTATAGCGTAATAAACCAGCAGCACAAGAAAGTACTGTACTAGAGCTTTCATTTGAATGGTTTCCATAGTCACAACGAAGCAAGGATTGAATCCACTGCTTCAATCGCACCAGAGGAAGGCCATCCTTCGCAGCCTTTATCGTCATACCAAGGGATTTTATTCACAGAGTTATAGTAAGAGTCAAAGTGCATATTTACATAATCGACCCTGGCAGCGAAAAGGGTTGAAGTTACTATTTATAGGTTAACATTTTGTTTTGGTTTGTTTTCCTCTTCCACCAGAACTTGTTTAAGTATTTAGCTCGCTGTATCACCCACAGAGTCATGCAATCTGGAAAGGAGTCGTCATCCTCTTCAAGTGAGTTATTACTTGACTTTAAGGACCTTCGCGGATTGGTTTAGTTGTTGCTTAATGCTCATCTAGTTGTTTGACAATTCTACTGCTTTTAAGCTCTGCTTATGTAACGTTTGAGATTACCCAAACGCCACTAACAGACAAATCGAGATTTAGAAAGTACCTTCAGGCTTGGGACCTCGTCGACTATCCCTTACTGTAATTTGGATCTGCCTATATTCTAACTAGAAGGACGAAATTTCAAGGGGTCAAGCTTGGTTGACATCCATTGATGATTATGTAAAATCCTCTATCTCCTGCCCTCATTAATGATCTCCTTCTTCGTTCGCCTTCTAAAGTGCCATCAAAGTAACTTTCAGTTGTTTTTATTCTTTGTAGAAAAACTTGAGGTGAAAGCCACTGTTACGAAGTTGTTTGATGTGTGCAAGATATTTGAGCGGGAAAGTGACTGGGACAAATACATCAGAGTTACAGGAGTTTCAAAATGACTTGAGCAATAAGCAGTGAAATTATTTATTACTTTAAGCTTGCTCAGGTAAATGTTAGGGAGCTTAAGTAAAGGCAACGGCGACGGCAACGAGGACGGCAAAAAAAGCAATGGGTTTTGATTGGCAAAACAACAACTCTGCTCGAGCATCACGCTTTTTTGTACATGTACATTTTTTGCCGTCACTGAACGACTACGACGTGAAAGTGCCTAATTTCACGGTTTATGGAGGACGTAAACAAGCGAACACGAAATCTTCTTTCCCTTTCTGAACTTGGATATGGTTCTGGAGAATTTAATTCCAGGAGAGTTCGCCTACATTTGGCAAAGCCGGCCCAGTTCAAACGTCCAGCTTTTCATGCACCGAAGTTTATAGCAAGTTGGGTCGACCCAAGTGATATAAGTTCGACGGTTGATTCAGACGTCGAATTAGTGGGACTCTATTCATTTTCACGATGCACAGTGGTCTACAATGCTTACCATTGCAAATAAATTATTAATAGTTATTTATGTGTACGGTTCGTAAGGTTCGACGTTTGAAGCGAGGTCGCTCCACAGTCGAAATTCCCAATTGGCCAATTCATGGGTATGTGAAAAATTCGACGTTTGAACAGGGCCTGAGTTGGAATAATCGCGATTGAAGATTAAAAGAATGCAAAGTCACTTTTTAAGAGACGTTTTCGCCGCCATCGCCGTCCTCGGATCTCAAGGTCCCCAGTAGAAAAGCTGGAAGCAAATCAGTGTCAAAATATTAAAAAGAAATATTTATTTTGTCTCCCAAAGTCTAGATAAATATATTTGCCAGAGTATGAATAATAAAGATCACGTTGAGTTTCAATAAATTTTTCCCCTCGAAAGAATCAATTTAGACCTAAATTTTGTTTAAAAAGAGGAAAAAGCTATAATTTATATTATCTTTGCCGTCAAAAGGTCAATTAGTTATATATTCGGAATAAAAATAAATTCAATAAAGAATGATGAAATATTGACTTTTTTAGTTTCAATGTTTGCTCAAAAGGGTTTTCTTAATATGTAAATATCCCAGCTTCTAAAACGAAACATCAGAGGGCAAAGCTTTGTAAGCCTTTCTGGTTGATTTAAATTACACTCCTTTTTGAACGGCAGTAATGTTTCCCAGAGTCCCGGGCGGAAAGCGATGTCTGTGTTGTGGTGCTATTTATTGGTGCTTTCATTATTCACCGTTGAGTAAAAGTCACGAAATTTTTTTGTCTCATTAGGAGGCCAAGCTAGCCTGCGTAGAAGGGGCCTTTTTTTTTCAGGGGCGAAGGAAGAAATTTCGAGGTTAACCGGTGCCTGCCGCTAAGGCCAAAGCATGGTCAAGCGGATTTCAACTCGGTCACCCGCAACCATCGTTCAAATCCCGCTCTAGTCACTAGCAAGTGTTTTTCTCGATAACCCGGCCTACACATCCTCGGCCATGATTACAGTCAACGGCTTTTGCCTACGGCCAGTAGCGATCCTTCCTTGCTGTTACTTTTAGAATACATGTATTTTCGTAATAGTAATTTTGTGGGCCTCAATATGATCTAGTGGGTCACCAGGAATAGCGCCACTCCTTTAAAGATTTTGCCTGTTTATTTGTAAACGAGACTGACGAAAGATTTAGTGTAGTCGAGCAATATGTTTCTATGCTTCGCGCATAATGTAGCCAGATTGCTAAAGAATGCACTTTATTTGAGTGTAAATGTTTTTAGCGCGAGAGTTTGCAACGGCTTTTCCTGCTGTACGTTGTTTCCAATTCAGGAAAAAGGTATTGGGATTGTAAGCTACCTTGTATTGAAGCTCAGATAGAACTGTCCAGCACCTTTGTTTATGACCAGAAAATGAGCACGAGTGGCAGCTCTGCGAGGAATTCGCACCTCAGCCAGGGGGGACGAATGACAATGATGCCCATGTCCGTGAACCGATCCGTATAAACATGTATTGCAGAGCAAAACATAATAATCAAGAAAAAAAATACCCATTCATTGAAGGAACGAAGAAGTGACAAAAATTTCAGAGTTGTAAATTTATTCACCGGCAGTATTTTTGCGATAATTTTATTTTGCACTGTGATGTTATTCGGTTCACAGAGTGGTCATCATTGTCGTTCGTCCCCCCTGGGTGAGGTGCGAATTCCTCGCAGAACTGCCGCTCGTGCTCATTTTGTAGTCATAAACAAGGGTGCTGGACAGTTCTTTCTGAGCTCTGATACGAGGTAGCGTCTAATCTCAACACTTTTTTCCTGAGTTGGAAGCAACGAACAGCAGTAAAAGTCGTTGAAAATGCAATGCAATACATCAAAATGTATGCAGCAGGAGTTTGAGCCAAAACTGCCAAGGGATATTTTAAAACTGTCGAAGAACAAGTCATTCTACTTCAGAGCAAGGTATGGAGCAATTTGTAGTGGTTCTAAAACTAAAAAGTACCTTTTAAAGAATAGCACGATAGGCAATCGGCTTTTGTTTTAAGAATTAGCAAACGTTGAATTTACTTGTCCCGAAAATTCAAACTGGTGGCTCCTTCTACCTGATAGTAATTTATTTTTGAAATTCCAAAACAATTTCACAGCTGAATTTTGAGCGACTTTTAGTTACGGACTTCTGCTCCAACGATTTTTCTGAAATTCCTCTGGCATATTTATTATATCAATTAAAGCCGATACCAGAAATTTGAGTAAAAAATATCAGCAAAATTTTTTACTAACGGTAGGGTCCTTTTAAGCGCTAATTTCTCAAGAAATATTTACCATCAATGAAATCGGAATATTTCGTATTATTGCCGAATGATATCCGTTATTCTTTGAAAAGTTTCGCAGCCATCGCGTTAAAAACCAAAAAGTTATGACGGAAAATTTGTCACAGCTAAATGCTCTTGTATTAATTACGGAGCCACCTTTTAAACGCGTAGGTTTGTTCTGTTTGTTCTGTTTTTTTTTTGTTAGCAAAACATTGGTAAGGGAAGGAACCCTCTCTAAAATATTTCACAAAGAGAGGAATCCATCAGCCAATATAAACTACTGTATCTTGATTTCCATCTGCGATAATCCTTCAAAAATCAACTTAACAAGGAAAATATATCAACTTTTCATAATCAGCTCCTTCAGTCCGAGTGAAGACTAGGCTGAGGTATTGATAAGACACGTGCAAGGGTTAAAAATAAAGACCGCAAGTAAAACTCTTGTTACCGTAATGTGGCATATTTTATTCAGGTTTTGTCTGACCTCGTAGTAAGCAATTTATAGACTAGAGCTGCTTCATATCAACATCATTTCAACTGGTTAATCGTAAGCCATTTATCGCATTCCTTTGAAGCAAAATTAATTCAAAACTATGTTTCGTTTTACGCTGTGCTTGCTTCTCGTCTGTACGGTCTTTTCTTCCGCACCAAGGTAACAGTATTTCTAATTTATACCTAATTTGAACATATGACGAGAACGTGAAATTGAACAAAAATCTCTTCACTTTCTTGATGAGAGGCTGTCGCTGGTTTGCTTTTATTTTACCTTGCATACACGAAGATTTTTCATCCTGTGAAACAAATTTCAAAATTCATATACTTTAATTTATCTTTTGTTCACGGTTACATGACGGTGCTGTTTTAGACTTCGTCTGCTCTCGATCTGGTGGTTTAATAATTCGCTTTAATGCAAAATTGATACAGCAAGTTTCAAAGACATTCATAAACACAGACTTTCGATTAAAGCAATGCGAAAGAGCTCAAAAGGCTTCTATAAGAGTTAATAACATTGAACGAAAATTTATACAAACTGAACGATTTTTATCTCTAACTGGAATAAGCTATGATGACTCTTTTCCATGTATTTTAAAAAACCTTTCGGGCGGCTTTCGAAACACTTCTTATTACCTAGCTAAAGGTAAGAACCATATACAGCTTTGAGCAGCCCCAGACATTGAAATTTCGGTAAAAGACAGAAAAGAGAGTTTAACGACATTAAGTTACACATCTACAGCTTTTTTGGAGTATCAGTAAATCAAATTTCGGATTCCGCACAAACTCATGTACTAATGCGTGATAAATTTTATTTACGTAGGGCTCTGGATAAAAACATCAGATATAAAGTGCTAGAGATGGACCCAAAGGGAAATCTTTACCTTCACAAAACTGCTTTTCTCTGCAACAATGATATCATCAAACGACTCGTTAGCGGCAAATACCATCTCGTAGACTCGACCCCCATTGGTAAGTCACTCAATTTTTCCAAAAAAGGAAACCAGCAAAGGGCTTTATATGTACTGTGATGAGTCGTATGCTTAATGCTTCCAGACCTCCACTGAATTAGCACTGAATTAGCTTATTCTTGAACTGCTAAAATGTTCGAAAAGAAAAGGAAGTCGACAGTGCCATTTCAAATGTTTTCGTGCTTCCTTAAGCCACTTTTTTTCCAATAATAACTGAAAGAGAGTGCTGGTACTGTCCTTAGGGTAACTGAAGAAAGCTCAATTTAATTAGAATGCTCGTTTTCGTTATGAACGCAGGTCTGTCAAAAGATTCTTCAGCACTTAATTGCAAGGATCTCAAAACAAAAGTGCCTTCTGCCACGTCAGGCGTCTACTGGATTGACCCGGATGCTGGTTCCCATAGCAACGCTTTCCAAGCCTATTGCGACCAACAGACGGAAGGAGGAGGTTGGACTTTTGTCTGGAGTTATACCTTCACAGCTTATTCAAGCTTCACGTCTGGCGCAAACGCTGTCACTCCACGGCCTGCATGGACAGCCAGCGGCGCTAACACACGAGTGTCCACCACAGTTCCACTGAGCGAGACGCATTATGAAGCCATGAACTTTGCTTTGTGGCGCACCATTGGAAAAGAATTCCTTATCAAGAGTAACATCGACAACTGGATCGCTTGCAAGGAAGGTTCTGGAAGCCTCGTGATGCAAAAAGCGGGGTCCCTCAGCTGTAAACTGGTCAAACAAGTTTCAAAGCAGTGTGCCGGTGTAGTGCCAAAGACCATCTCGATGTACAGTCCTGGTCCTTCTCTCAACACTGCAAGCCACAACTATTACTTCGACGGTAGTACGAGTGGTAGTTGGCCTACTCATGATCCATGTGGCAGAAATCAAGCGAATCAAGTAAAAGGCGTGGTTAATCCACATGGCAATATTTTTGTAAGGTGAAAAATTTCTCAAGCGCATGCTGAATATTGGGGAGGAGCCAAAGATAAAATCGTTAAATGCTAATAAGCTCTCTAAGGGACTGTAAGCAAGACTAGTAGCAAAAAGTTAAACTTAACATACAACTGAAAACTATACTACTGTTGTGTGGCAACAGAAGGCAGCGGAACATTGTAAATGAATAGCCAATAAATATGGGTTCCTTATATTGCAAATGTTTCATTTATTGTTCAGCATTAAAAGGTTTAGTTAAGTATCGTCACCCAGTTTAATCACCTACTATTCCCACCGTCAAAGAGTAAAACAAAGTTAAATTATTTCCCTTGACGGATTTTTTCTCGTTTTACGTTTTTCGCGTTACCTTCTGAAAGCGACCACACAAAAACGCTGAACTGCACTCAACTCTCTCATAAGGGACACCTATAAAAGAAGGACACCTGGTGTTGGCCCCTGCCGTTTTCAAGTCATTTTACTGTACCTATACTCTCGAAAACAAGAGGAACACGCTTCACTTCTGAAACCGCCAAAGGACATTTGAGAGGTAGTTTATGCCGTGAAAAATAAGTCTAAGGGACTGTGCAATAATTACCCGAACGTGGGCTGGGAAATGGGTGAAATATGCCCCAAAACTAAGTCATACCCCCTCCCCCCTTCTCATTAAGCAAAATTAATTTCCCCCCCCTCCCTCACATAATGATAATATTAAGGCTACCCCCTCTTTTTTTCAAGCTCACTTTAATCATACTGTGTTTTATTTACCATACTTTAAATTTTTATTGCTATTAAAATTTCAACAGTTGGGTTTTTCATTCTGCTTAATTATGATGCCTTGAGTGCTAACATTGGCATCTTTCTTTTTCATTGAATAACTTTATAGTGCTACTTTTGCAACTTTTAATTTAAGTTTCCTGTTTTATTTAATCCTAGTGCAAATAAAGTAGTACTGTTTTAACATATATAACAGAGGAACAGGAGGGTAAGCCTTCATGCAAATCGCTTGTTTAGCGGTCGCGCATGCTCATGCAAGAAAGACCCCTGTTCTCGTGTCGCCCACCAGGCGTGAAGAAAGGCTTCATTAAGGGAGAAGCGCTCAGTTGGGAGAAAAATATCAGAAATTTTCAAAATCGCCTGATAGAAAGAGGCTACCCTGCAGTTATTGTGAGAAAGTACCTCTCTGAGGAAAAATTGGCCGACAGCAAAACTGCCCTTTAACAGAGAAACAAATCCGCACGTAAAAAACTACTACCTTTTGTTACACAACACAACCCCGTTTTACCTAGCCTGAAGAAAATACTAATGGAGAAATGGCACCTTATACAAAACCAAGAACGGTTATATAAGAGAAATCTTTAAGGAGACTCCACTCATATCATGTCGCGAGGGAAAATTCCTTAAGGAGCTGTTAGTTAGAGCGAAGCTCTGAAGGTCAGATAACTTTTGAAACAATATTTAAGGGGTGGCGAATGGTACCTCGAAAAACGTGGGTCTCGGAAAATTTTGGCCGGATCTCGAAATCTCGGAAGCGTTTTTGATAAGTCTCGAAGTCTCGTTTTTGTATGGTTTAATATTTCTGTTTATTATTGATACCTATTTTTATGAGAATAAATAGGACCTCGTGTTTCTTTGTTTGCTTCCTTTCTAGAATATATTTAGTAACAACATGGGTAACCACACTTAAGGTACCAGAATTTTAAACAGCAATGCAATGTGACAAACAAAAATCGTACATTTTAGTAAAATTGCATTTTAAAAAGGACACAACAGGTTTGAGAGTATTGTTAGCAATAATTTCAGCTGACTGTGTTTTATATAACAAGTGTAGGGAACTGTCCTATTAGTATATAGACGTAAATGTGTACCTATCTATGTTATAAAATAGGATGACCCACCCCCTAAGGGTAGCTGAAAATTGCACGACCTACCCCTTACGCAAGGCTCAAAACCTCATGACCCACCCCCCTTCTGCTCCGGCGCACCTCATCCCCACCTCCCCCCTCCCTATACTTTTTGACCAGTCCCTGAAGTGAACGTCTGCTATCTTTACCAAGTCGGTGAGGGGAGCTTGAGGGCGGTCGCAGACGAGCCGCAGACTCTGTTTGGTCTTTGATAGTCTTCAACATTAAAAGTACTATGACTAAACCCAAGGTATCTATTACCTTGGCCACGGTCCCTAGCAAAGCTTTGTCCATCAGAAGCTGCAGGTTTTGCAACTACCTTTAACTACAACTGTTGCTTGATATCCTTGATCCCGTAGGCCAGAGTGTTGATTTTGTCAAGTAGGAGGTAGCGCTTTGAATCAAGGCTTTGAATCAAGGCGCGTGATTCAACTCTTGGGATGGCCGAATTTGTCTTAGATTATGTTATTATATCGTTTTGCAAATTGCCCCTTAAATGTAAGATGAGATGAGATTAAGGTGGCCCTTCTCATAAAAAAGTTTTTTTCTCATTTTATGAAGTGCGGAATAAGCGAAGTACGCAGTGCGCTTCATGATTTTCGCACGGGCTGTACCACGAGTTTCTTTGCGAGGTTAACCGTTGAAAAGCCAAAAATTTTAGTCGTTAAGTTAAAAAAAACAAAACTTTTAACCGTCACTCGTAAAAACAGAGAGCGCTAAAAATTTCTTGTAGCCACAATTTGTCATTTTTTAAGAGAGGGTCAATATTGCTTGTCTCCGCCCAGGCAACTGGACGCTATTTCAACCTTTTCTTATTTTTTTTTTCCATCCCGAAGTGGTCCTTAGAGGCTTACGCCGATGAAAAATTGTGAAATTCTTTAGAAAAATTGATTTTTCCTCTTCAAATGCATATTGACGGTAACGGAGATAAAGGAGCAATTAGCTGTGTAAAACCCAAAATAATAACAGTTTACCGTAAATACCTCCACTCAACTCAGAGAAACTCTAAGCATCCCTGAGAACAATAATGGGCTTCTCGTACTCTCATGTAGAGATTTGATTTAATGAATGTAACTACGTTATAGGATTTATCAGTATGTCTTTCTTTTGACAACTGGACAAAAAATCGGCATGTACTTAGTGGTCTAACATAAATTGACTGAGACATCATTTCCGGAAAGCCACCGAGGCAAATTAATTAAGTGTAAACAGATTTTTTAAACTTATTATTTGCAAAACATACTTTTGCTATGTATGGTTTATATACAGCAATGAAAAGGATGATGTACAGGAAGAAAATACAGACGATGAAGCAACTGCTGCTAACAGCAACAAGAGAACAGCATCGGAGGTTTGTTTGCCGTTCTACTTCATTGAGAAGGCGTACTCTTATCCCAAGATAACTTGAGACTCGTATATAGAGTGTTGCTCTTCAATTATCTCCCATAATCGCCCCCGAATCACATAGGAGAACATCATATACAGTTAAACCCCGTCAATGCGGACACAGAGGGGGCCATAAAAAGTGTCCGTATTAACGGGGTGACGTATTAAGCGGGTTGAACGTAGGGAAAATGTGAGGTCTTGCTGTCCACAGGGATAAGGAAAACTGTTCGTAATAACGAGGTGTCCATATTTTAATCCGGTGTCCGTAAAGCCGTATGCGCCGATATGAAAACATGGCTTTATGTCTGGATCAAGGAAGTTGAAGAGGTATATTCCTTCACGCTGGCAAACAGGACAGTTTCGAATTTATAAAATTTATACTTGGTTCCGATGATTGCGTTGACAGAACAAAAGAAATCTTATGGAGTTTTAAGGATAAATAATTCAATTCTTTTATTTTATTACCCTCAGCTTCGGAGCCAAGTATGAATTATGATGATTCGAAACTGGTCTCCATGATATCTTAAACTTTACTCCTCCACTGACACTGGGTCACTTTCCTAAGATCCTAAACCCGTTTACTAAAGCAAGGCACTTTCCCCTACTCTCAAATGATTTCAAGACTCAGTTACTGAAACGGGTACTTCTAACTCTCAAGCGTCTGTTGTCGTTTACAATGATTTGGTTTTTAAAAACATTTCTTCAATATATCCCAAGGAACAGGACTAGGTTTAGTAAAATTTTGGTTTTAAGGGGTAATTCTTTATTGTTATTTTACTACACAGAGTTTCTGGTGGTTAGAAGATGATCAACCTGTTTGTAAAAAGACCAAGCTGGAAGAGAATAAATCACAGGTGAAAGGGAATAACTGGGTACGATTTTAACGTTAGTTGGGCATGTTTGGTTTTAAGGCATGCCCACACCCACACCCTTATTTAAAAACTCAGGTTGGTCAAATATTTATCTTTCAACAATCAAGGCACAAAGCCAGTTTGAGAGTAAGCGCCAGTGCGAACTTCAAAAGCCTATGTGTAACTCGATTCAACTTAAAGACGGATGATTTAAGACCTTATTACGCACGTTTTGTCTTTGGGGGCAATTATTGTCCAAGTTGTTGTTGGTGGTCTCTCTCCTCCGCAGAGGTTCCTGCCGGGTATCCCTATAAAAATAGCAATAATCGGAAAAAAAAGCGCGCTGGGGACGATGAGAAGAGGAAAATCTTTTGTTACTTTCTCCACCACCACTGAAACGATCTCGAGCGAGTTGTCGCTGATTTGTTCATGGACCTTTGACTTCAATTCAAGCTACCGCGGACAGATTCCAGTTAAAGAAATGGGGCTAAAATATTACCTAGTATGCTACTTGCCCAATGTTGGGTTTGACAGACTACTCGCCTTATAGCCCTGTAAATTAAAGAATTCAACGAAAAAAAAAATATTTTAATTTAAGGAAATATTAAAAGCAGTTCGAAAACTTTGACGCGCTTTTGGTATTGGTTGAAAATGAAGCTTCGTTTCCATTTTAAATGTTATCCTTTTAATGTTACATAAATAGGGATTTTGGTGGCTTGAGGAGGATTCCTCTGATAGCAAGATGTCAAAATCAAAAAGCAACAAGAACTTAAATCCTGGTAAACACAGTAAAAGCGTCGGTAACATGACAGAAACAAAGAGTGCAGGTGTTGGTTTGTTTACCAAGGCGTCAGAATTGAAGCCATGAAAACCCATTAGAGATACCTCAAGTGAATCGCGCAGGCATAAAGACAATTTACTTGCTGGTCATAAAAGTGGCAGTAGTAGACAGAAAATAGATCAGTGGTTAAATAAGAGCTTCACATCACAACCACTTGAACATAAAGACATTTGTGAGAAGAAGGGGCCTGGCGAAGGCTAGTCAGGTGGTAACCTTGGTAACATATCTCCTGGGGATTCTGCTGATGTTAAGGACGTAGCTAATGTAGTTGTTAAGTACCTGTCTTCGTATCTAAAGCAGGGCTCTAATGTCTCTAAGGTAAGAACTACGAATTAAAACAAATAGAACTTGTGAAAGTACTACTGAAGAGGTTAGATTTGAATTTTACATCACCTCAAGATTTCATCCACAGGGTCAAACGTTAGAACTGCATACTCTTCAAATATTATCGTGTGAAAGTACTTATGGTACTGCTGAAGAGGTTCTAATTTAATGGTCATACCTTAAAATTTCATCAACAGACTCAAAAGTTAGAACTACATTACTCTTCAAATAGTATGATGTGAAAGTACTGCTAAAGAGGTTTTATTTGAATGGTAACATCGTATGATCTTATCCTTAGACTCAAGCTAGAATCTCCTAGTATAGCACAATAAACGCGCACCACAAGAAAGTACGGTAGTAGATCTTTCATTTGTATGGTCACAATGGTCAAGTGAGTTCTTACTCGGCTTTGAGGATCTTCGCGAATTGCTTTGGTTGTTGCTTATGCTCAACTAGATGTTTGACAATTCTACTGTTTTCAAGCTCTGCTTATGTAACTTTTGAGATTACCCAGACAACAGTAAGAGACAAATCGGAAAAGAGATTTAGAAAGTCTATAAGGCTTCGGACCTCGTCGACTATCCGTTACTGTAATTTGGATCTACCTATATTCTAACATGAAGGACAACATTTCAAGGGGTCGGGCTTGATTGACATCCATTCATGGTTATGTAAAATCCTCTTCCTCTCATTAAAGATCTCTTTCTTCGTTAGCCTTTTTAAGTGTCATCAAAGTAATTTTAAGTTGTTATTATTTTTTGTAGAAAAGCTTAAGGTGAAAGCCACTGTTAAGAAGTTGTTTGAAGTGTGCAAGATATTTGAGCGGGAAAGTGACTGGGATAAATACATAAGAGTTACTGGAGTTGGAATTTCAAAATGACTTGAGAAATAAGCATTGAAATAATTTATTACTTTAACGTTGCTCAGTTAAATATTTCCTGTAGTCGACGCCCTGTAAACGATTAATCTTAATATATGGTTCATTTCTTCAGTAATCACTTTATCGAAGTATTTTCTCGTCTGATTGAGTTTTGACCGTCTCAGGGACAAACGTCGATTTTCATATGCGACGAACGTAAACTAATAAATAAAGATTTGTATGACAATGTATATTTAGCCTCGTTAGGGAGAAAATTTATTAAAACTGCTTTTTGGTCAGATTCAGTTGATTGGTCCGACGTGTCCTAAGTTCGACGTCTGACCCAACAGGGTCGACCCAAATTAGAGTTTGGTTCGTCTTATGAAAAGTTCGACGTTTAGCTTAGACCTTAGTCGGACTCAATTTATTTTCATAATGTACAACACTCTACAATGTTTACCAGGGGAAGTAAATTATGGCTATTTATACATTAGGTTCGGCACGTGAAAAGTTCGACGTTTGACACGAAGTCGCTCCACAGTTAAGATTCCTATGTGGGCTATTGGAACGTAATTCATGGGTTGACCAAAATTAGATATGTTGGACTTAACTGATTCAAACGTCGATGGTTTCATGTACTAATTGAAGGTGTTAGGTTGGGTACGTGAAAAATTCGACGTTTGAACTGGGCCTGAGTTGGAATAATCGCGATTGAAGATTGAAAGAATGCAAATTCACTTGAAGCTACGTTTTCGCCGCTGTTGCCATCATAGGATCTTAAGGTACCTAGAAAAGCTGGACGCAAATCAGTGACAAAATATTACATGAGTTTATTTGGAACCAAATAAAAATTTTTATGTCTCCCCTTCCAATTTCTTCAATGCATGGATTTTGGGGGGTGGGGTCGATTGCGGCTTCAAAGGCTTAGAGGCTCTCGAATGTGAACTTTGAATTATCTTACAATGGTTTACGATCGCATGAGAATCACAAGACCAAAAGTAAAATTACTTTTGGGTAATAATCACGAGCTCCTATCGTAAGGCCACTCAAAGTAAATCTACTTAGCCTCGATCTCATTATCTCGCGGAGACCCTTTATAAGAGGGTGTAACCTTTTGTTAATCCTCTCGGTCCGAAAGCTGACATCAAGCCGAATCTTCGATAGCTGACCCGCTTATCCTTTGAACAAGCAGCTCTCCTTGGGAATTCACCACAACAAACGTTAAGTATATCTCATTTACTTCTTGTTTTCAACTGTTTGCTGTTATGGATAATACCGCCAACATTCTCATTATTGGTCATTCATTTGTGAGGCGTTTACAGACATTCCTCACCGAACATCACGATAGGCGTGCCGCTCTCAACATGAACTTGCCTCACGAAAATATATCTTTTCTAGGCATTGGCGGTAGAACCGTCTCTAAAATGCTGTCATTTGATTTGGATAAAATTAAGGCTTTTCAGCCAAAGGTTATCATTTTAGAACTGGGAACTAATGATTTGTGTGTAGTGGGGCAGCGCCCCGAATCTGTTGGTTCAGATATTGAACATTTAGTTCAAGTCCTCCATGATCACTGTGGAGCAGAGTTTATAATGGTATGCCTAGTAATTTACCGGTCTGCTATTCCTCCACACGTTCCCGATTTCAGCCACAAAGTAGACCTTCTCAATAAATATCTCAAAGTGGTCCTCGAACCACTCCCTTATGCTGAAGCTTGGAGCCATAGAGGGCTTCAAAGTCCATCTATTGCCGTTTTATGCCGAGACGGCGTTCATTTGAACGCAGCGGGTAACTTTGCTCTTTATCGTAGCTATAGGGGAGCCATACTATTCGCCTTGAAGAAGTTAGCCACTTTTTCTGAGGCTCAGTGACAGATTCCAACTTGTCTATCCAGTCATGCATTCTACTTTCGTTGTAACCGTCCTTTATGGCGGACAGGAGAGCTTTATCTTTTGTTATAGGATATTGTATTTATTTTACGGACCGGTTCCTCTGTCCGGCGCTTTAGCATGTTCAATGCGGCGTCTCCAATTTGGAAATTGCCAAACATGCTGCCGATTTTTCTTTTATTGCCGGTTCCGTTTTTTCTCTCTCCAATCTGTAATTTGAGCAGAATGCTACTGGATTGGAAACCCCCCACCTCCCTTCCCACTCACTCTTTTACTATTTTATCTCCCATACCAACGCCTTAGGCTTATTTATTCAAGTTCCTTTGCTTGCGGTCTAGATTTGCTTGAAATTGAACCATATTCCACGATGATGACTAGAGGCAAGCGAAGTTCTACCGCAACAGCCTCCAGCGCACCAGTTAAACGCCCGAGGGCCATGGCCCGCAGTACATCTCGCCCCACCAAGTCCAAGAGGCCCAAGCAGACCTCTCGAGTACACTCGGTTCCTGCTCTCAACCCACCCGAAGTGCCGCACCCAAGCGAACTTTCCCGAGAGCCGGCGATCAGTGGGCCATCCTCAGTCTCAAGTCCCGCGGCCTCGAGTTCAGTTGTCTCTCAGAATATGGTTTCAAGCATCACGAGTGCTATTTCTTCGGCTGTACTTGAAAGCCTGAAGTCCGCAGGAATAATCCCTCAAGAGCTAGTACAGACATCCGACCCTGCTGCTGCTGTACAGGGGTCAGTAGCGCAGGTTGTTCAAAACCTAACTGGTGAGGGCCACACTTTAACTTCTACCTCCATTACTAGCGGGCCAGAGACCGACCACAGGCTCGATAAAATCCATACCTTAATTTCCGTTCCACTCTCGAGTAGAGTTCCAGACAAAATTCAATCTAAAATATGGGCCAACGAATATATCGATCTCGGAACTCTTCTATCGTCCTTGCCAGGCGATCCCAAAGACAACTTCACGGTAAAATCATCTGGATCCAACCAGCTTGTGGTCAGTCTCGAACCCGTCCAAAACTCTAAGCGCATTACTAGCATCGATCAATGGACTACCGCATTTCAGGTTTTTGTTGCCGTCTATACCATCCGATTCCCGGACAGCGCTCCCGGATTAATGAAATACAGTGCGACAGTGCGCGATCTGGCGGCAAAAAACGCTCATTGGCGTTATTATGATGAAAATTTTCGCTATTTACGTCAAAAATCTCTTTTCCCTTTGGACGAAGTACATTGGGAATTGTGGTTGCAGGCGCACCACATGACCAAACTTTCACCCTCAAACAATCCGCCTAACTCGTTTAACCGGCAATCAAAGCAGCCCTTTCCGCGAGGATTCTGCTGGAAATTCCACCAAGGTGAAAGATGTTTTGGGTGTAATTTCAAACACGCCTGCTTTAAATGTGGAGGCGATCACCCTGCCACAAAATGCAAGTCGGGAAAACCAACAGTCGCCACCTCTCGCACTGTCGCATCCAGTCCAACTACCAACACCAGTCAAAGTAAATAGATTACATTTTTACCTAGATGGCTATCCAACTAAATTGAAAGACTATCTTTTAAATGGATTTCAACATGGGTTTTTATTGGCTTATGTAGGGCCCCACAAACCCTCCAGTTGCAAAAATCTTTTATCCGCTACTCAAAACCCTGTAGCCGTTTCCGATAAACTGTCAAAAGAATTAAGTCTAGGTCGGATTGCAGGGCCATTTTTAGAACGACCTTTTCCTTCATTACGCATTTCTCCGCTTGGTTTAATTCCTAAAAAGACGCCAGGAGAATTTCGCCTTATTCACCACCTATCTTTTCCTTACGGTGATTCTATTAACTCTTGTATTCCTAACGATGCCTCTACGGTTAAATATGCCTCGATTGACGATGCGGTTAGACTTATCAGGCGCACAGGCGGGGGCTGCCCCTAGCTAAGACAGATGTCAAAAACGCTTTTCGTCTAATTCCAATAAATCCATGCGACTATGATTTGTTAGGTTTTGTTGGGAGGACAGCTTCTATTTTGATAAATGCCTGCCGATGGGAGCCAGTTCCTCTTGCAAAATTTGGGAAAGCTTTTCAACCGCTCTCGAGTGGATTGCTAAGTCTAAGTTAGCTATCTCAGGTGTTTTACACCTTTTAGATGATTTCCTTCTCATAGACAAAACTTTCTCAGCTTGTGAACAAAATCTGTCTAGGTTTTTAGCGATGTGTGACGACTTGGGTGTCCCCATGGCGCCTGAAAAGACAATGGGTCCCAGTAGTGTTTTATGTTTCGCCGGAATAGAACTAGACACTGACAAAATGGAGGCTCGCCTCCCAGAAGAAAAGCTAAGAAAATGTGTTACTCTTATTTATGAATTTCTCAAGCGTTAAAAAGTCTCCCTTAAGGAGATGCAATCCCTTATTGGTCTTCTGAACTTCACTTGTTCAGTCGTTATACCCGGCAGGACCTTTCTTAGACGAATGATTAATTTGACAGTTGGGGTCAATCGCCCGACTCATTTAATTAGATTAACGCGTATAGTCAAGGACGATCTTAAGCTCTGGTTAGAATTTTTAACACAATTCAATGGCAAATCATTCTTCTTAGACTTTCAATGGCTTTCATCACCTCACTTGCATCTTTATACTGATGCTTCTGGCTCTCTAGGCTATGGAGCGGTGTTTCGTCAGAATTGGTTTTACGGTCCGTGGCCCCCATCCTGGACCTCTAAGAATATTATTGTGCTAGAAATGTTTCCTATTGTTATCAGTATAAAAATATGGGGTACTCAGCTGGCGAACAAATGCATAACCTTTCACACCGACAATCAAGCCTTGTCGGAAGTAATTAATAAAAAGACGACTAAAGATAGGGAGCTGTTGGTTCTTCTTCGTGCCTTGGTTCTATCATGTTTGCAGAACAATATCTTATTTAAAGCTGTACACCTCCCAGGCGTTCATAACACGAAAGCTGATGCTTTATCGCGTTTACAGGTGACCAAATTCAAGTCCCTGTCCAAGGACATGGCGCCAGAACCAACAGCTGTGCCTCCCCAACTGTTACCAGAGAACTGGCAGTTATAACAAAAACTCTTTTAGAGGCAAGCTTGAGTAACGCTTCTGTATCCGTTTATAAACGACCTTGGAAGTTATTTACAGATTGGTCGGCTTCTTATTTAGGTGATATGCCTATTAATTTGCCTCTTCAACCGGCCATACTGGCCCTTTTTATCGCGCATCTATACTCTAGGAGTTATTCTTCTTCGTCAGTAACCACTTACATTTCTGCTATTAGTTACGTTCATAAACTTGCTGGTGTCGCTGATCCTACTGAGACGCCACTTATTATACAAATTTTAAAGGGTTATCGGAAACTAACTCCCGTCAATGATGTCAGGTTACCTATTACTTTACCAGTATTACGGAACTTAATTAGAGCTTTCGAGCATTCCCTTTCATCACATTACCAGTCTCGTCTCATGTCTGCCATGTGTGCTTTGGCATTTTTCGCTTTTCTCCGCATTGGGGAGTTAACAGCCTCTCGAGGCAACACTACCAATATCATTAATCTTTCGCAACTAGACCGACTGGTTGATGCTCAAGGCCGAATTCAGGCACTGCAACTTACCTTGCATAACTACAAGCATAAGAATTCTGGGCCACCTTTTGTTATTTTTATCTATCCTGAAAGGTCATGCTGTCCAGTTCAGTTGATCTTAAACTTTTTAGCTGTGCGAGGGTCGGTATCCGGCCCTCTTTTTTGTTGGCCCGACGGAAGTCCGATTACTAGATCCTATTTAGTTGAGTGACTTAACGCAGCACTTACATTTTGTAACTTAGACACAAAGCTATATAAATCGCACAGTTTTCGCATTGGCGCTGCCAGCTGGGCATCTGCCAAGGGGTTTTCAGACTCCCAAATTCGCTTGCTAGGTCGCTGGCAATCCAGCGCTTTTCTTCGTTATATTAGAACTCCGAGTTTAGGAACAACTTTAGATACTAGTACCTGAAAACACAAACAGGCGTTGTGTTTTCGTCCTCCTTTTCGCCAACAGCCTTCGGGTGGGGCTGGGCCGCTTAGGAGCGACCCGTGGCCTTTTTCTTCTGGCCCTCACCTTTGCTAGACCTATAAATTCGTAAACATTATTTCATATTTTAACATTGATAAGATGATTTTGCAGATTTGAATAAAACCGGCCATTAACTTGGCCATGTTTTTAATCCCAGACCATAGTCTCGGTTTTCTTTGTTTCCTAAGTTAGGCGTCTAGCAAACAAAGCTCGGCTGTTGGCAGTAAAGGGGGGTTTATTGTTAGTGTTTCAGTAAACCGGGGAGGAGACATAAATGAGTTTATTTGGAACCAAATAAAAATTTTTATGTCTCCCCTTCCAATTTCTTCAATGCATGGATTTTGGGGGGTGGGGTCGATTGCGGCTTCAAAGGCTTAGAGGCTCTCGAATGTGAACTTTGAATTATCTTACAATGGTTTACGATCGCATGAGAATCACAAGACCAAAAGTAAAATTACTTTTGGGTAATAATCACGAGCTCCTATCGTAAGGCCACTCAAAGTAAATCTACTTAGTCTCGATCTCATTATCTCGCGGAGACCCTTTATAAGAGGGTGTAACCTTTTGTTAATCCTCTCGGTCCGAAAGCTGACATCAAGCCGAATCTTCGATAGCTGACCCGCTTATCCTTTGAACAAGCAATCGACCCGCCTCCTCCCCAATCTTCCACCTTTTTTACTTGCTTTAGGTATTTCTTGTAGTTTAGTTGCCTTTTTCTTCTGGCCCTCACCTTTGCTAGACCTATAAATTCGTAAACATTATTTCATATTTTAACATTGATAAGATGATTTTGCAGATTTGAATAAAACCGGCCATTAACTTGGCCATGTTTTTAATCCCAGACCATAGTCTCGGTTTTCTTTGTTTCCTAATTAAGTTAGGCGTCTAGCAAACAAAGCTCGGCTGTTGGCAGTAGAGGGGGGTTTATTGTTAGTGTTTCAGTAAACCGGGGAGGAGACATAAAAAGAATTAACGAAATGTTTGTTTTGTCCCCCAAAGTCTAGATAAATATATTTGCAAGAATTTGAATAATAAAGATCACGTTGAGTTCAATAAATTTTTCCCCTCAAAAGAATCAATTTAAACCTAAATTTGTTTAAGAAGAGGAAAAAGCTCTAGTTTACCTTTGTCATCAAAAGGTTAGTTAGTTAGTTAGTTATATATTTGGAAAAAATAAATTCAATAAAGAATGATGATGTATTGACTTTTTTAGTTTCAATGTTTGCTCAAAAGGGTTTTCTCTATATGCAAATAAAGCTTTGTAAGCCTTTCTGGTTGTTTTAACTAGACCTCCTTTTTAACCGGCAGTACGTAGTGTTTCCAAGTGTCCTGGAACGTGATATTCGTGAACTGATGTGTTGTGGTGCGATTGATCATTCACCTTTAACAGAATCCTTTTTGTTATTCAAACTCCTTTTAGTGATGTGCGCAACCGTAAAATTCAAGAATTTCTTTGGTCGAGCATATGGCAGATCAAGCAGATATCAAGACTATCAACTCGGTCGCCCTGGCCAATGGCAAGTGTTTCTCTCGGTAGCCCCGGCCCGCGCCGTTAAACTCTTGTACGGATTTGCTTTCTTGTTGTTAAATTTTGAATAAATGTATTTTGTGCGCCAAAACATGAATAACTGGGTCACCAGTAATAGTCCAACACATTCAAAGATTTTCTCTGTTTATTTGTAAACGAAACTAAAGAAAGATTCACGTAGAGTGTTGTGTTGTATTCGTTTTCGATTATAATGTTTCTATACTCTGCGCATAAATGCACTTTATTTTGGTGTAGGCGTATTTAGCTCGAGAGTTCTAAGCGAGGACACTATTTTTCCTCTCCTTATAACTGAAGGCGGGACCGTCATTTTACGTGAATATCCGAGACACGCGAACGCCCAGCCGTATGTAGGGAAAAGACAGTACCTTCATTTCTCAGTTGTTTTTAGATTCCGAGTATTGTTCTGGCCCCGGGGATCGTACCACCGACTGAGCCAGTCCTGCAAAAAATGAAGCTTAAACGCGTAGATTTATTCTGTTTATTATTATTATTATTATTATTATTATTATTATTATTATTATTATTATTATTATTATTATTATTATTATTATTATCATCATCATTATTACTATTATTATTATTTTGTGGGGGGGAGGGTTGTTGTTGTCGTTGTATTTTTTTTCCTCTCCCCCTCTCTCTCTCTTAGCAACACATTGGTAACGGAAGGAAGCCTCTCTTAAATAATACATTTAAAAAATCCACCAATAAAGATAAACTTGTTATTTTCATCGACAATATTCCTTCAAAGATAAAATTAACTATGAAAGTATATCAAGGTTTCGTCACCAGCTCCTTTTGTCCGAGTGGGGACTAGGGTGGGGTGTTAATAAGTCACGCACAAGGGTTAAAAATAAAGGCCGCAAGTAAAATATCTTGTTACCGTAATGTGGCATATTTTATTCAGCTTTTGTCTGACCTCGTGGTAAGTAATTTATATGAGATCCAAGCTGCTTCATATCAACATCATTTCAACTGGTTAATCGTAAGACATTTATCGCCTTCCTATGAAGCAAGTCAAAAAGATGTTTCGTTTTACTCCTCTGTGCCTGGTTCTCGTCAGTGTCTTTTCTTCAGCAACAAGGTAACAGTATTTCTAATTTATACCTGATTTGAACAAATGACGAGTTCGTGAAACAAAAATATCTTCACTCTCTTGATGAGAGGCTGTCCCTAGTTTGCCTTCATTTTACCTTGTTTACACTAAGATTTTTCACCCTGTGAAACAAATTTCAAAATTTATACTTTAAATTAAGCTTTGTTCGGTTACACGACTGTGCTGTTTTAGACTTCGTCTGCTCCTGTGCTTTCGCTTTAATGCAAAATTGATACAGAAGGTTTTAAGACATTTATAAACACACACTTTCGATTAAAGCAATACAGAAGAGCTAAAAAGGTTTCTATATTAGTTAATAACATTGACCGAAAATTGATATAAACTTAATGATTTTTAACCCTAATTGGAATGAGCTATGATGACTCTTTTCCATGCATTTCAACGCCTCTAGAAAATCCCTTTCGGGCGGCTTTCGAAACACTTTTGATTACACCATAAACAGCTTTCAGCAGCCTCAAACAGTGAAATTTCGGTAAAAGACAGAAAACAGAGTTTTAAGACATTGAGTTACACATCTAGCGCTTTTTTGGAGTATCAGTAAAATTAATATACAATCACATTTCAGATTCCGCACAAACTAAAGTACTAACGCGGGTTAAACATTACTTACGTAGGGCTCTGGATAAGAATATCAGATATAAAGTGCTAGAGATGGACCCAAAGGGAAATCTTTACCTTCACAGGACTGCGCTTCTCTGCAAGAATGATATAATCAAACGACTCGTTAGCGGCAAATACCATCTCGTAGAATCGAGCCCCATTGGTAAGTCACTCAATATTTCCCACATAGGAAACCAGCGAAGGGCTTTATAAGTACTGTGATGAGTCGTATGCTGTAATGCTTCCAGACTTGTACTGAATTCGCATTGAATTAGCTTACTCTTGAACTGCTATAATGTTCGAAAAGAAAAGGAGTTCTACAGTGCCATTTTATATGTTTTCGTGCTTCCTTAAGCCACATTTTTTTCCAACAATAACTGAAAGGGAGTGCTGGTACTTTCCTAACTGAAGAAAACTCAGTTTAATTTAACTCGTTTTCGTTATGAACGCAGGTTTGTCCAAAGATTCTTCAGCACTCAATTGCAAGCATCTCAAAACAAAAGTGCCTTCTGCCACGTCAGGCGTCTACTGGATTGACCCGGATGCTGGTTCCCATAGCAACGCTTTCCAAGCCTATTGCGACCAACAGACGGACGGGGGAGGCTGGACTTTAGTCTGGAGTTATACCTTCACAGCTTATTCAAGCTTCACGTCTAGTGCAAACGCTGTCACTCCACGACCTGCATGGACAGCCCGCGGCGCTAACACACGAGTGTCCGCCACAGTTCCACTGAGCGAGACGCATTATGAAGCTATGAACTTTGCTTTGTGGCGCTCCATTGGAAAAGAATTCCTTATCAAGAGTAACATCAACAACTGGATCGCTTGCAAGGACGGTTCTGGAAGTCTCGTGATGCAGAAAGCGGGGTCCCTCTACTGTAAACTGGTCAAACAAGTTTCAAAGCAGTGTGCCGGTGCTGTGCCAAAGTCCATCGTGATGGACAGTAGCGGTCCTTATCTCAACAGTGCAAACCTCTACTATTTCTTCGACGGTAATACGGGTGGAAATTGGCCCACACATGATCCATGTGGCAAAAATCAAGTGAATCAAGTAAAAGGTGTGGTTAATCCACATGGCAATATTTTTGTTCGATGAGAAATTTCTCAAGCGCATGCTGAATATTGGGGAGGAACCAAAGATAAAATCGTTAAATGCTAATAAGCTCTCTAAGGGACTGTAAACAAAACTAGTAGCAAAAAGTTAAACTTAACAACTGAAAACTATACTACGGTTGTGTGGCAACAGGAGGCAGCGGAACCTTGTAAATGAATAGCCAATAAATATGGGTTCCTTATATTGCAAACGTTTCATTTATTGTCCAGCATTAAATAAGGTTTAGTTAACTATCGTCACCCAGTTAAATCATCTACTATTCCCACCGTCAAAGAGTAAAACAAAGTTAAATTATTTCCCTTGACCGATTTTTTTCTCGTTTTACGTTTTTCGCGTTAGACTGTTAATGAAAGTGACCACACGAAACACGCTGAATACACTCAACTCTCTCATAAGAGACACCTATCTAAGAAGGACACCTGGTGTTGGCCCCTGCCGTTTTCAAGTCATTTTACTGTACCTATACTCTCGAAAACAAGACGAACACACTTCACTTCTGAAACCGCCAAAGGACATTTTAGAGGCAGTTTATGCCGTGAAAAATACGTCTAAGGGACTGTGCAATAATTACCTGGAGGGGGGCTGGGAAATGGGTGAAATATGCCCCAAAACTAAGTCATACCCCCCTCTCATTAAGCAAAAATTAATTTCACCATCCCCCCCTCCGTCACATAATGATAATAGGGACCTTAAGCAACAGCGTTTTTGAGCGACGGACGTCAACCGGAAGTGGACTTTTTGCATCATTGGGGAGTGGTTTGGTTGAAACTCTCGGGTAAATCGTCTTTAAAAGAGAAAAGAAACTCAGCAATACAAGTTTGTTAGCGTCAAGGCATATAAAAAGGGAGAAGGCCTCACTTCCGGTTGACGTGCGTCGCTCAAAAACATCTTTGCTTAAGGTCCCTAATATTAATATTAAGGTTACCCCCCATTCTTTTGAAGCTCAATTTAATCATACTGTGTTTTCTTTACCATACTTTAAATTTTTATTGCTATTAAAATTTCAACAGGTGGGTTTTTCATTCTGCTAAATTATGATGCCTTGAGTGCTAACATTAGTATCTTTCTTTTTCATTGAATAACATTATAGTGCTACTTTTGCAACTTGTAATTAAAGTTTCCTGTTTTATTAAATCCTAGTGCAAATAAAGTAGTACTGTTTTAACATATATTACAGAGGCATTCCTTTCCTACTGCGTGACAGATAGGAAAACAACAGTTCATAGATCAGAACACCCTAGAGTTGATAAATTTGTCAGTTTTATTCCAATGTTAGTTTTTATATTTGAACTCTAATAACTCTTCCACAACTTTCCCAGTTTGCAAAAAGGAATGAAAAAGTAATGCCCCGCCTGTATGTATTAAATTTTAAGAGGCTGTCTCAGTAAAAACCGCCCACTCAATTTCGCGTGAAAAATAATTTTGCCTGAAACTCTGGCTAGTGAAAGGCTTTATCGAGACTATAACTAAAATAGGTTTGCTTTGATTCACAATAATTTTCTGGCCGCGCTGGGGGACGCCGAGTATTTTGTCCCGCCACGGCCATTTTGCACGTCTTGAAAACTGAAAATTTGGTATTTTTTGCGGCGCTGTAAAATGTTTGATTTGCTCCATCTATCAAGCTAATACGCGAGCTAATACGATATTTTCAGATTTAGCGTAACGGATCTACCTCAAGCAGATTTTGTCAAAACTACGGCTTACCTAATTCATTACTGGCACTGACTCACAAATTGAGCCGTATTCCAATCCCTGAGATGCCGGACTCCACAAAATTCCAGTAAATGTGCTTTAGAGACTGCTGGTGTGCGGCCATTTTTGAATCCCATGCTAACAATCCGAAGCTCAAAACAGGTGAAACTGTGTCACGTTTCGAGCTTAATAGCTCGGTAAAACAACCGTTCAGAGGTGAAAGTTTGCTCGAGAATCAGAAAATCAACTAGGCTGGTCTCATTTTGGATCAGAAAATTGAGATTTCAGAGCTACAACCTCGAATAAGGAATAAACCTTCTATTCAACCGGCTCTGCAAGGTCAAATGCAGGTTGACACGTAAACCGGAAATGTTGAATCCCGGAAACAGGGAAAACCGGAAATCGGCAAACCTGAAATCAGTCAGGGGCCGAAGGCAATTCTAACAATTAGAGACAGCTGCATTCGTTTAGGGCTTCTTTTCGACGTTGAGACACGTAAAAGATAAAACCTTCCAAACCGGCGTAGCTGTTTGATTTTCACTGAACTGAAACGCAATTCCATGATCGATTGCGTTTGCCAAATAGGCTCTATTAGAAACAGTAAATATCATTAACCGATTACAAACATTCTATGTGCGCTAACATATCACACTTATGACTAATACTTTACAGAAGTTAGCTATATATCGAAACTGAATGTTTCGAGATCCAGGAAACCGAGCCAACTCGGTTCTCTGGGCTTATTAGTATAGAGGGTCCTTGAAAGTCGCTTGTTAAGGGGGCATTCTGGTTGTTTTTTTCGGGGAAAATGATGGTGATTTGGAAAAGAAATAAATAAGAGTAGAAAAGGTATGCACATAAAGCAGTTAGTCCGCTAATGGGATCAGAGGCACTCCTTGTTGGAGTCTCTGGCATTAAATTTTCTTCTGATTATTCACTTCATATTTTAATTTCTAACAACCCCCAAATCCAATATTTTCCAACTTTTCCAACATTTTTGACATCCTCCCTAACTTTTATACGTTAAAAACATTCGAAGAATCATCCAGAAATTCTCCACAAATTATTATACCAAGGCCTCAATCTTAATTGGAGTCATTTTTTGATTCACGGATAACTTGGATAGCGGATAACGCGAGGAGAGCAGAGGAAAGTCATTTGGATTATAGGGTACGGTTGCAAGAAACTCCCATTTAATCTAGAGTAGCTTTAAGAAAGGATCTAATTCTGCATGCTTGTTTAGCCTTTAAGACCAATATTCACACCGAATGGTAACACTAGTGGCAAGTCCTAGGGGCGACCCTTTTTGTAGACCAAAAATCCGATGCAATATGGCCAAGAAAGGCGCTAAGACACTTTGTTTTAAGATTAGCTACAAAACACCGTTAAATGGTCGAAAAAATAATCCTACATTTGTCGATAAATTTGGGTTTTCTGACCCAAAACGAAATATGCTTACCTGATGTTTTGATTCCCGGACAAGTCTCACCTCCGGACATTTGTTTTATTTTCTTTCTTACCCAACTATTTATCTCTAAAAGTGACATACCGTAAAATTCCGAAAATAAGCCCCGGGTCTTATATTTTTCAAAGGCCCTTTTTCAGGGGCTTATTTTTGGACGGGCTTATATTCGTAGGAGCTTATGTACGGAGGGAAGTTTGCGTTTCAAAATCGATTGTGCTAGCTTATAGTTGGAAGGAAATTAACCGTTTTTGCTTTGTTTTACTTTGTATTTGAGGGCAATTTTCCAAGTACAAGACCCCGGGGGGCTTATATTGGGAGGGGCGATTTCACGGAGGGTTTTTTATGTTAGGAGTTTGGGGGAGCTTATACATGGAGGGGCTTATTTTCGGAATTTTACGGTAGTTTCAGCATGGGATTCAAATATGGCTGCATACCAGCAGTTTCAAAAGCGCATTTACTAGAATTTTGAATGAAATATTGGTCAATTTTTTAGTCAGTGCCAGTAATGAATTAGGTAACCGGTTTGGGAGGAGACGGAGGAGGAAAATCTAGTTCCTGTTGTAAAAATAGTCAAAGGGACGGGAGAAGATTCAGGAAGAGGATCAGTAAAATTTGAAGAAGGCTTTCTCCCATTCACTCAAGCCTTCCCCTCCCTGATCAGTTTCTTATAAACTTACTCACCGGCCGGGACTATTTATCCGCTCTTAACAAGCGACTTTCAAGGACCCTCTATACTAATAAGCCCAGACAACCGAGCTGGCTCGGTTTCCTAGATCTCGAAACATTCAGTTTCGATATATAGCCAACTTCTGTAAAGTATTAGTCATAAGTGTGATATGTTAGCGCACATAGAATGTTTGTAACCGGTTAATGATATTTACTGTTTCTAATGGAGCCTATTTGGCAAACGCAATCGATCGTGGAATTGCGTTTCAGTTCAGTGAAAATCAAACAGCTACGCCGGTTTGGAAGGTTTTATCTTTTACGTGTCTCAACGTCGAAAAGAAGACCTAAACGAATGCTTCTGTCTCTAATTGTTGGAATTGCCTTCGGCCCCTGACTGATTTCAGATTTGCGGTGGTTTCTTGGTGTTGCGGATCACCAAATGACGTTGTACTGTCGCAATTTGTAATAATCATCGCACTTTGTAATACCTGTCGCAATTTGTAATAAATCCATCGCACTTTGTAATACCTGTCGCAATTTGTAATAAACCGTGTCGCACTTTGTAATAAAAAAGCTGTCGCAATTTGTAACAACTGTCCATCGCACTTTGTAATAAACTAAGCTGTCGCAATTTGTAATAATTCCATCACACTTTGTAATAACTTTTTGAGAGTAATTAAACTTACTTCGTCAACATTAATATAACGCCAAAATATGCATGGTACTTCATAAACAAAGATGATGACGTCTGCTAGCACGTAACAACTACGCTCATTCAAACACTTAACTTTATTCACAGTCCTAATCTTTTTTTTTTAGATTGATGTTGATTAGTTATCTGATTTACGAAATGCTGTATTCTTAAACCTTGCCATTGTACTAGGTGGCGTGCATTCAATGGTTACCCGGCGGGTGTACTTCCTTATATGGCCAATACGGGGATGCGCCTCTGGACAGAGCATTGCCAGAGTACAGGATCTAGACAGAGCTAGACTCACTAGACACAAACGAGCCATCATTAAAAAGCATTTAATTCCGCAAATCGTAACATCCATCCTACATCATTCGAATAAGGACACCAGGAGAGTTCAAGCTTTCCTTGTTAGATCTTATAACAGGTCGACACAACACGTGGTGCACCGTCCTTGTCTAACGCGCAATCTTAAAGAAGTAATAGTGGCTTCCATATGCATATTTTGGCCAACTAAATCAAACGAGTCCGGAAAGATTCAAAATGTTTAGTGTAAATAAAAAAAAAGCACCTCACCAGTCGCAAACCGTCGAACCACAACAGAAACCTAAACACAAAATCCAGTTAGTCGCTGGCCAATACCTTCGTATG